CCAAGGGCAAGATGGATGGATGGCATCCTTGAAGTGACTGGACTGACCTAGAAGGAGCTGGGGGTGGTGACAGCCGACAGGGAGCTCTCGCGTGGGCTGGTCCATGAGGCCACAAAGAGTCGGAGACGACTGAATGAATGAACAACAACAAGTCTACAATAATTGTTCACCCCAATTTCAATAGCAAGCAATGGCTAAGCAGTCTCCTATTGGGGTGGGCCAGTAAAAAGTTATTGTTTTTCAGAAATGTCTTCTATGATGCCAATTTGGAAGAAACTCAGCCCCCTTGCATACTGCCCCTATATCCCTGGATCTGATCCAAGATTGTCTGCTTATCCCAGATTATCTGGCAGTGGAGACTCATATGATCATATAATCATTTAAGCATATAATCCGATTTAAATCAGATAATCTGGGATCAGATCCTGGAATATAGGGCAGTGTAGAAGGGGCCTCAGGTTGCCTCGATGGAATACAAAAAGGAGCTTTGGAAATTTGATATTTGTTGGAAGAGGAAAAAGTAGACAACTTCTTATTGCAAATGGTTTCAAGGCTGTCGAGTGTCTCCTTGCCTGCCAATAACAAATTACAACAAAACCTATGCTGACACTAATTGCATTCATGTGAGATAACATCACGACTAGTTTGGTCCTTAGGAGAAACTATGGGGATGGAAAAGAAGCTATATAGAAAGTATTTAAGCCCTCCAATTTCAGATAAAGGTGGGGAAGACTATTATATCTTGAAGATTTAGAGGCAAATAATACAGCTGTAATTTCACTGTTTTAATCTAGCTGATTTTGAGTTTAGATTATTGGGTCTTGAGTACAATTTTCTGCGAAATTCTGTATCGACACCTCCAGGGAAATGAATTCTTTCATGTGCACTTTCTGTTGTAATCTGGAGATCTGGATAGTGCAATAATGGCATAATAGTGTTCTTCTTTTGCCTAGCTCTCTGATTTTTTTTTTTGCCTTGAAAAAGAGCTGTGTCAGGGACACATAAAAATATTTCTGCACCACACAGGAAACCACTGTTCTTGATGAGAGGAATTAAATATTAACAGTGGGGTCCATCCTGCCTTCAGCTTGCAAACTCATCAGTACTGAGCTCCAAGAGTGCATGACCTCAGGTCTTTTACCTTAACATGCTAAGCCGCTTTGATTGACTCATCCCTGAAAGCTGATGGCTTGAATATTTAAAATCACATCAAGCTTTCCCCAAACATTAAGGGGTCACCCTTAGCTGGAAGTCTTGGTTTATGACATTTAAAATGGCTGCATTGGCTTCAAGTTCTTCTTTTTTAAAAGCTATTTCAACAGAGTATTGCATCAAAATGGAAAAGGAGGAAACAGAGGTTTTGTTGTAATAATAAAGCATGTTCTGATACCAATTTGGTAGCACCAAACTGATTTTCTGATTAACTATGTGTGAATAGCCTGGAAATTATAACTACAACTTCCACAATGTATTACTATTGCCCATTCTAGGAAAGGCTAATGGCAGGCATGTAGCCGGGGGGGGGGGGGGGGGGGGGGGCTTGAGGGGCTTCACCCCCCCCCAAAGTTCTCAGGGTGGTTCACGAGAAAGCCTTACTGGTACATAATTTAAACTGTTATGTATATTCATATAATGATCTAATCACCAAGCTCAATATATCCCATATGCATGCATGGGGGTATTGGGATAATGATACAAAAGGTTTGCTGGGGTAGATCCTGAGCCCCCCTCCCCCAAATCAAACTCAGCCCCCCTGAATCAAACTCAGCCCCCCCCCAAATCAAAATCCTGGCTACGGGCCTGGCTAATGGGAGTGTAGGCCAGTGATCTTAAGAGAGCTGAAAGTTCATGGCATACGCTCTAAATGGTTGCTAGCTATTAGCCAATGAATAGCCACATAGCTTCAATTGTTTTATTCCAGTGGCACTTTCGTTTTGTGCACTGCATCCGTCTTCCAGCCTTGGGCACAATTTTTTCACTTGTAATCTTAGCCTCACTTGTAAGGAATCATGGGATTCTCAATTCAAAAATATACAGAGATGGTTGTGGCCCCTGAACCCCATGTTGATGCAGTGGTGAGTCTACTCTGAAATAGAAAGAACCTTCAAAGATACTCAGGAAAAAAAACCCTTTTCTGGATCATGAAAGATTGAAGGGTGACTCTTCCTAAAAGTGAAAGTTGTTGCAGCTGTCCCCTTTACTGTGCAACTTAAAAATATACATTTTTTAAACATAAAATAAACCTCTGGTTACTTCTATGTAGTTTGGTTTTGGTTTGCCTGCTTCTTGTCTAAGTGGATCCTAGAGGGTAACCAGTGATTCAGCCTAAGAACCCTTCCACACATCCCTGTATCCCAGAATATTAAGGCAGAAAACCCCACATTATCTGAGTGTGGACTCAGATAACCCAGTTCAAAGTAGATATTGTGGGATTTTCTGCCTTGATATTCTGGGATATAGGGTTGTGTGGAAGGGCCCATAGTTGCACATATCTGATTTCCCAGTAAATGATAATCTTTAGATGCAGCCAATGAAGCAACAGGACACTATGTAGAATATGGGTAGCAAAGTGCAGCCTACACATTGCAATCCTTAGGCCATAAAACCACCACCCCAAAATCTCCTCAAAGCTCCCAGATCTTCTGAAAAATAAAATAAAAAATTCAGGATGTATTTTCACCCCTAAATCAGTGAGTGATTCTACACTCTAACCCTTCCTTATTCATTCTAAAGATGCAAGAACCCCATATGCTAGGATATATCAGCATTATGTCATGCTAATAGTGAAAAGTCTGTTATGTTGACATGAAAATTAATGGAATTTTGTTTCCATTTTTATCTGGCAAGTCAGTGTTTGCTACAGATTTAGCAATTTCTGCTAGACTCAGAATTGTCATATGGCTCCATGGTATCTCATATAGATGCAAAGATATGCACCTAGTGTGTGCCCATCTGACTAATGAATTGGAGGCAATTGCAGTCGAACTTCAACATCCTTTTTTTACAATCCAAGATTTTGATTGCAATAGTAGGTGGCCTTTTGCACATAGCTCATGATCTCTTATACATTGTAGTTTGAAATCTAAGGACTACAAATCAGTGGAGTGGGCAAATACTTGCAAGAGAGCATATTTGAACTTCTAATCGCCCAGCCATTATGCACTTAATACATTTTGAACTTAGATCTCACAAAATTTATAGGCCATGCACTGACCTGGTGACTTGCCTAATCATCCTATTCCTCATGTACTAATCCATGGATTAAAAACTTCTTGCGTGTGCAAAATACAGCTATTATATAGGCACATTGTGTTTTTGTCCTTTGGCCCCATGAGTGGTGATCACGAGATGATAAGTAATATCAAGGGGATAAAAAGCCAGCTATCCTGGCAAACTGAGTAGTCATCTCCTAATTCTGTGGCAGCGGTGACATTTGACATTCCAACGGGCACCCATGCAGAGAAATGTGGTCTGCTGCAGAGGAGTGAAGCAGAAATCATATTGTTTCTTACTTTCTTGCTCTCTTGGTGTCTCATTCTGAGTTGAGAGTGAGAAATACATCTTGAGAACCGGTACTTGTTCAATACTGGTCAGTTATGTTGGGGCCAGAGGCCTCAGAGGTGTGTCTACACACCTCTATGGCAGCAGAACAGAACTTAAAAGGTCAAACTGGGCTGAAACCAATTTGGTTTATTTGGACTGTCAGCTAACTTTCATTTCCTTCTACCTAGTTGTGTGAATGCTCTGCTGACATCAGCACAAGGTACCCACAATAGCCAGATGCTCTCTGTAGCCATCTGGCAGTGGCAACATTGACACGGATGCCCACCTTTCCCTACACTGATGAGTACAGGAAAAAGGGGATGATGGTGGCTGGACAGTTGATTGGTTTGCATTTTGCCAAAAGTTTAGGACTGCTCCAAAAATTTGCCCAAATTCCAGAACATTCCTCAACGTTCCTTAGCATGAAGTTAAACCTGTTCAATACAGGGATGACTTCTCAGACACTATGGATTTCTTGGCCAGCTTAGACAAAGCCCAAAGTAGACTGTTCAACTTGGTTTTGTGACTTTGGGTTTGGGTGAAATGTAGGATATAAATGAATATATAATCCCCATCTTTGTCCTCGGCCTCATCCAATTTCTAGTCCTCTTTGAGCCACAATCATGGGGATAACCAGATAGTTGTTTATTCTTGACTTTACATTCCTCATTGGGTTGTCACAAGGATAAAAGGGGAAATGTGGGATAAAAAGGGGACTAATAAATAAAATTAATAATAAAGTAAATAAATAAAATGGCAAAATAATGGATGAAATTTTGAAAACATTGCCTGTATGTGGGTTTGTTTTTTGTTTTTGTTTTTTGTTCCAGCCAATTGCAGTCAGTCGGCCCTCCACATTGGCTGGAATTAGGAGCACAGTACTCCTGCAAAACTGAAAAATCATAAATAGGAAAGCTATTTTTTAAACTGAAAACTCCTTTTTATTTATTTATCATATTTATATACAGCCTTTCTCAGCCTGAAGGCAACTCTATGAATCTCTACATCGTACAGCTTGACTCAATGGTCAACGTCTACCAGCAATAACCATAGAATTGCACTAAAGAATCTAGAGATTCCTAGTGCGGTGTTGCAGAAATTGACCACAGGTCTAGACTGAGATTCCTAGAGAGAAAATTTTAATCAAATCTGCAACTAGTCAAATCCCCAAAAGTCAAATTCACAAATGTGGAGGGCTGACTGCATTGTGTAAATTTCTTTCTTCAGGATGGTAAGCCTGTAGTCACAGTAACAACAGCAAACTTCATAGTATTTCCTGTCAAAATAGGTGCTACAATCAAATCCTTTGTTATTATAATTGCAATAATTGCAATGCCCTATGGCTGTATGCAAATGATATTTTAAAGTATGTGCTTGCTTGTCTGTTTGTTCATATTCTGGCTGTCCAGAGGAATTTTTGCTTATCTTTGTTTCTATATTCTCTCTTATGTTGTCAGAAGGAGGAACGTGCGAAGTTATAGCTGCACATAGATGTTGTAATAAGAATCGGATCGAGGAGAGATCACAAACAGTAAAATGCTCCTGTCTACCTGGGAAAGTGGCTGGCACAACGCGAAACAGACCATCATGCGTTGACGGCAAGTAGCTCATAATGTCTGTAACTTGAATGTGTTTGAAGTTTTGCTAAAAAGGCTGATTTACTGAGATGTAGAAATTGTTTAGTAAAAACAATCAGAGGTCAATCTAAATCTGTGGCTCCCAACTTTTGGGCCTCCAGGTGTTTTGGACTTCAGCTCCCATAGTTCCTAACAGCTGGTAAGTTGGCTGGGATTTCTGGGAGTTGAAATCCAAAACACCTGGAGGCCCAAAGGTTGGGAACTAGCGGTCTAAATGGACATTGTACCATAGAATTGCCATTGTGTAGGGAAAGGCTGAAAAACCTTTGACAGCTTTGATATGTTGGACTACAACACGTATACACAAAGACAACCTGGAATCTGAATAGAGGACACTTCATTTTACAGCAGCAGGATGACGTGTCCCTCCTCCTCAAACCACAAGCCAGCAGTGTCTATAATATGATTCACATTAGATGGCCAAAGGTTTTCCAAAACCAAAGCATATTACTAAAATAATGTATATCTTGTCAACTGTTAGTGAAATATGTAATTAATTTTATATCAACTTTCTCCTAACATGAAATCCAGATTGGCTTACTGAATGGCTTAAAATGAACACTTTGACCCCAATATCCAGGGGGAATATGTTCACAGACTTTATGTGATCAGCTAAAATCCAATTTGTCCTCTATATCACAACCCTGAAAATATTGGTTGTCATCCTGTAGCAAACAAAGTCAGGTATGTTTTACCTGCCCATCCAGACACTGAAACTCATCTTAAAAGCCAGACAGTCACCCAGAAGACAGAGGCCTTTCATGCTGCCAAGAAGGGCACTCCAGTAGGAGTCTTCGTCTGTGAACAAATGACACTCTTTTGTTCAGAATCACTGGTGAAAAGGGGATGGTCACCTGATCAGACAATACAGCATTTATCAGCAGCACCGACCTCTGCCATCCAACCCCCCAAATAAGGAGATCACACAACAGATATGGGTTAAACTATGGGCAACATTATTATTATTATTATTATTATTATTATTATTATTATTGCAATTTATGTTACCAAATTAAACTTTTTAACTTGCAGATAATTCTAAGGTGTGGAATGAACGGTGTGGATAAAGCCAAGTTAGTGGCCCTCCCTGACCTATCCCTCGGCTAATTTGGGCGAAACACATGGATCCCTGGCTGAAATAATCCTGGGTGACCACTAAGAGAAACGTTATGGAGAACTCTGCACAAAGGATTTATTGAGGCCAGACTCTCCCATTCCTAGGCCAGTTCCATTCATCCTCACCTCAGTTATTTGAACCACAGGTGAGGGTTTCCATCCCTGGCCTACATACAAAGGAGGTGCCTTGGGTATACACCAAAATGTAAATCCCTTACTGTTTTCCAATATAGCCTATTTGAAAATCACACCTTTCCAAATTGCCCTTTTTGAACAGTATAGGGTATACTGGGGAAAAACACTAGAACATGGGGGGTATTCCTACTTGGCCCCAAAAGGTGACTAATGAATTATACTGTTAGGGGGCATGACCTCAAGGGGTGGAATGCTAGCTCCTGTAGCTTTGCCTCCAGAAAAGTAGCCAGAGCTACTTTTGTTTAAACTCTTCTTTGGTGGAGGTGGAAAAGCACTTCTCACCCCCAGCTATATGGGGCTAGGGAAGTTAATTGTCACTCTGGGTTGCTAACTGGCTTTTAATGTGGGTTACAGGGCTATTTTTAATTCTCACTTACAACATCCTAACTAACAAGATGACAACCATAATATTCATTCCCTAACTGCTAAGACTTTTTCATGTGAATGAATATATAATGAACAAACAACCATGAGAACTCTTGGATACATGCATCATAATTTGAGAGCTTCAGTATCAGCACAGATTTCCCTGGATATGCATATGGTATTCTGTTTCCTTATACGAGTTGAATAATTATGATCCACAAACATCATCCAATTTCCCCCATGGTGTGCAAGTGTAGACAGCCTGCTAATCTCCATATGTGCTGACCCGGAACTCATAAATTCCTTCAATACTGACCACAGTGTTTGGGGTTGATGGGCATTGTATTTTACAACATCCAAATGCCATCTGATTGCTAATTTTTAACATAGTGCCTATGTTCTTTGAAACAGAAAAAAGAACATATATAGATGTCCAAGTTTGGTTCTCCCCTGCACAAATCTCCCAAGTTTATTTAAAATTGCATTTTCTCAAAGGATTCTCTGAGTAAATTATTCCTAATTGAGGAGAATTGACAGATGCCCCATGATATGTTAGAAGTTCATTGAATTCAAGTGTTCTGGTATCCTTTAGCTAGTCACCAGATAGCAATAATCAGTACAGCAACTGGTTTTCAATACAGTCACCAAAGGGTCAAATAATATGTGTTGCAGCAGTGTGGGGTGACTTTTTAAATTTCAGAATTATCCCTTTGTGCCTCCATTTGTCTCATTTGTGCTGATACATTAATCATTCAAGTGGCTACAGTGGATGAGATTTAATTAATGTTTTTCAAAGTTAACAGGGAGTTGGTTCAGCAATCTGACCCCATGATGAATGTTGTATAAATACTTGACTATCAAGATGAAATGGTGGTTTCTATTTCAACAAGCATGCAATTCTAACATTTTCTCGGATAATTTCTTTTGCTTTTTTTCCAAAACCTAATCTTTCATCTACTGTTGTCTCTGATCCCTCCTCTCTCCTCCTTCTGCCTTTTCTTCCACATCCTCCTTTTTGGTTTCAGTGACTGGGTAGGGATTCGAAAGAAGGTCACTTAGATTCTGGCTCCAATTTGGGGGCTGAAGGAAAAAATCATGAGAGGGAATGTTATTCTGCCCCCCCCCCACCCCCAGCTACACCTCTAGTTTTCTAAATACAAGCTAAAATATACATGTCTGCTGCTGTCCTACAAAATAATCTAACTATAAGTTGTAAAGTCATTGAAACTTAATTGGTACATGTGGGTTTATTGATACAGTATGTGAACATTTATTTATTTTTAATGTTTTAATGGAACAGTTTACCTCTCCGAATGTATTCTTCCCTATGAACCATCAAGATTATTAAGATCGTCTGGAGAGGCCCTGCTCTCGGTCCCACCGGCCTCACAAGCGCGTCTGGTGGGGACGAGGGACAGGGCCTTCTCGGTGGTGGCCCCACGACTCTGGAACTCTCTCCCACCGGAGATCAGAACTGCCCCTTCTATCCTGACATTCAGGAAACAGGTGAAGACGTGGTTATGGAGACAGGCTTTCAATGAGTGAGACAACACCCTAAGATATGGATGGAAGATGATGTATAATTGATTTTAGTATGACGACTGACCACTGTAGTTTTGAATATATTTGTTGTTTTAATGTGTTATTGTAATATGAACTATGATGTTTTACCGATTGTATGTGTTTTTATGGTTGGAAACCGGTCTGAGTCCCTCAAAAGAGGTGAGAAGGTCGGTATATAAAACTTTGAAATAAATAATAATAATAAATAAACAGTAAGATATTTGTGGATGTTTCCAACTACTTCAAAGATGGAATACAGATTTCTTTGAGTAGGGCTGGGCATTGTGGAAAGACCGTTTCTAGCACTCCTCACCACTGGCTATGCCAGTTAGGGTTGAAAGGCAGTTGTAATTTGACAACATATGAAGCATGTTCTTGTGATGCGGTGATTCTGCATGAGCCAGTGTGCAGAACTGGTATGAAACTTGAGGACTCTTGTGGGTGTGTAGGCAATGAATGTATTGGCAGCTTGGGTAGATTACTCCAACTAACTGTATAACCCTGACTGTAACAATGGCCTGATTAATCCTCCGTACATCAGCTGCTTTTTAATGTTCCATTTCCTCTTTCCTTCTGTCACTTTCCACTTTTGTCCTCAGCTTACTTCAGTTGTTGCAAACTGAATTCCAAAGTACAAAAGCAGTTTACCCACAATTAACTCAGGAAGAGGGAGAGGACTGGAGTAGAGTCTTATCTTCCCAGTAGGTTCAGGAAAAAGCAAACAGCAACCTCTCCTAGCTTGTATTTTTCTCTTAATTCATTACAATTGCTATCTTGACCAGAACTTTGATGTTTCTTGGTCACACATTACTAGGTGTGACTCTGTAAAGTGTTGTAGGGTATGTGAGTAAAATAATAGATGACAAGGAAGCATAATGGGGAAAAGTAATTTTATTTCTGGTGGCAGATATTTGGTTCTATCCCTGCTGAGTTTAGTAGGGTTGCTCTCTCTCTCTCTCTCTCTCTCTCTCTCTCTCTCTCTATATATATATATATATATATATATATATATATCGGGCATAAAGTAACGTTAATCCGTTAATGTTTTGTATTTTTTTGCATATCCGACGCGATATCAAAACATATTTTTAAACCCGGAAGGGTTTAAAAATATCGAAACAGCAGCCTCACATATTTTAAAATCTTCAGCTCGTGTCGTTAATAGTATGGAGGCTGCTGAGTGCTGCTGGTGCCTGGGAGCCAATCCGGCGCTCCCAAGCACCCCAGCTGTGTGTGCAGCGTGGCTGCTTCTCATTGGCCGGGAGCTCCGCGCGGCCGCGGAGCTCATTTCTTGCGCGGAGGCGAGGGAGGAGAGGTGTGTGGGAGGGCTGTGCTGGTGCTTGCTTGGGTTGACTGACTCTTCTGTGGGTTTGTGCTTTTGTTTGGGTCTTTCTTTTTTACTCGTGAGATAGATTGTTTGCCCTGACTCCTGCCTGTGTTAGCTAAGCTCAGCTCTACATCAGGGCCAGCTGAGTACATTTTTGAATATTTTCATACCTTTCTTTTATTCTTAAAAAAAACTAAAAAATTCTAAAAAAATTTAAGTCTTCTGTTGGCGTTTGCTCTAGTTGGTCCCTGTTTGTGGCTGTTTGGTCCACATCAGGGCCAGTTTCTGATTTATTTTCCATTGTATTTTTAAAAAATACCTGTGTGTTTTATTCTTTAAAAAAATACAAAAAAAATTCCCAAAAAAGAAAACAGTCTCCTGTTGGTGTTTGCTC